GTGGATGTAGTCAATAGGGCAGTGAATGGAGTCATTATGGCAGAGGTTGATGTCAGTCAGTAGAGCAGTGGATGTGTCAGGAATGGACTTGCCAGTAATGGTGGGACCCACCTGCCTTGTGGGCTGCAGTACCAGGGCTGGCCAGCGGGTGCTCCCGGCAATCAGAGACTCAACCCTGCAGCCAGCCAAACACCTGAAGTTGATCATGCAGGTGTATTTAAGGGATGGCCAGACCTGCAGTCTCTGCATTGGTGTGTGTTTTTCCTGGGCCCTGTATCTTGGTCCTGCATCCCTGTTCCTGTTCCTGTCTCTGTCTGATTCGTTGCTGACCCTGCCTGATCCGGACCTCTGCTGACTTCTTCTGTTTTATCCCTGGCTTGTGACCCCGACCATTCTCTGCCTGACCCCCTGTACCTACCTGCCCGATTGTTATTGACCCGGCCTGCCTGACGACGCTTGCATTATATGTACTGTTATCTGTGGGTGGTTTGGTTTGGTTCGTTTGCACTGTGTTATGTTTGTATTGTTAGTCCTTAATAAATTATATTGTTTATAACTTATCTGAAGCCTGCGTTTCCCTGCGTCAGTCACATACCTCTGGTCACACCTCGGAGCCCTGACAGGATGGTGTCAGTAGGGCAATGGACGAAGTCAGTAGTATTTTTTTTTTGTTATTTTATTTTCTTTATTATTTTTTGCTATTTTATTCATTTTTTTTACAATTTTATATTTTTTATTTTTTACATTTTTTATCAGCCCTTTTGGTGGGTTTCACTTTTGAAACAAAGAAAAGAGATTGAGGACACAGCCTTCAATCTCCATCTCCACGGCCTCAGCTGCACAGAATGAAATAACAGGAAGAGCTCTGCTCTTTCTTCTTGTTCATTCATTAACTGAAGCATAGTAAACACAATTTACTATGCTTCAGTTATGAATGGACATAAGAGCATCCTGAAATATCCCTCCCCCCAGCAGAGAGAGGAGGGAAAGCCGGCAGCGCTGTGGGGAAGGGGATAGAGGAGCACATTGGGGGGCCAAGCAGCAGAAATAAGAGTATCCTGGACAGTGGGGTGGTGGGGGTGGCATATACAATCCCTTGTATTTTCCTCCTGCTGCCGCTGATTGCTGATGAGAGGGAAAGGAGGAAGAGCAGCAGGCATTCAGCGAATGCAGAAGGAAAATACAGGGGATTGTGTAAGCCATTCCCACCACACCTCCTGTTCAAAGTGTGACAGGGAGGCTGCAAAGGCCCCCTGAAGCTTGAACAGAGTCGCCACTGCGGCCCCTGATGCTACCCCAGTGTTGGGGTTCCTTCATGTCATACAGGTCCCCCTGCTGCCTGCACACTACAAGTCCTAGATTGTCCAGGACTTAACTTTCCTCCTCTCTGGCTCCTGTCATTTTCCCACACATGGGATGTCCCCAGTACAGGAGAAGTCCAAAGAATTCTCAGTCCCCCTCAATATGTATAAGTCTCAAAGCCCTGTGTTCCAGACTGTAGAATGTTCTCAGTTCCTCTATAGTCCCTCCTCTCCCTATGCTCTGCTATCACCTCACTCCCACTTGATGAACTTGCTGCCCCATTGTAGGATCTCCAGCACCCAGACTTTCTCCAGCTAGAAAGCATGTATACCCCACAATGACTAAGGACAGGTCGAGGGGGCAATTAGAGAAGAGGGAGCTGAGGAGAGACTATCGGGGACTGACTTGAAAGGAGATATGAGGTGAAGAGACAAGGGAGGAAGGGGGTGAGGCCAGCTAACAGGGGGCAGGGACAGAAGGGACACAGGGCTGCTAGGCAGCAGAGAAACGTATAAGAAAAGGCCAGCCTGTACACCAGAAGGAGGAAAGTTCCCTGATCACCACAGTTCTTCCTATCATTCCCCTCAGTGTGTGACCCACCTCCTCCACTCAGAGGCTCCGTCCCGCCTGGTACCTGTGTGAAGTGAAGGGGAGTAGTCTTTCCCATCACATACTGGCCTCTCAGGTGACCCCACTGCCCATACACAGGCACAGTGACATAAAGCCAAATATGAGAGGGAGGCTGCACAGGTCCACCTGGAGCATAGGCAGGGTCGCAATTGTGATGCCTGTGACCCCTGACGCTATGCCAGTGCCTTTAAGGTAAGCACAGCCTGTACACAAGCCTTCTGTTTTTCATTTAGACATGGTTGCAGTGAATCAGGTTACTGTTGCATAAAGTTATTTTACTGCCAGTGAGTTGTTATTCTGAGAGCACCAGTTGCTGCTCCAGGTTTCCTCAATTCCTCTCACTGTAATTGCTACCATGCAATAATGGCAAGAAAGGGAACAAACAGTACAGTCAGAAAGTTTTAGCCCCACCCAGAAGCACATGCAAGGATCTTGCAGAACCAAGGCTTTTGTAGGTTGCATGCAAATCCTGTTAAGAAATTAAGGGCTCTCCAATTTTAAAAGTCACAATATTTGCTGGATTGTATTAGCGATTCAGTGATTGATTTCACACATTGCCTTTTATATCGATTTAAAATATATGTGCACCCAGTAAAATAAACCTTATGTTAGCTTTTACATGTTATTATTTTCAAATTCGTGTTTTAATACTTTTTTCTGCTCATTTTATTGAAATAGTACCTGGTCATCCTGCCACAATGGTTGTTGGTCAGGCAGTTCCTGCTATAGGGTGACAATGCTGCGTCCCTGCCTTCCACTTTTTCACCTTTACTGTAAAGGCTTTCAATTGAGACAGCAAATGGCTGTTCATCATACATTTTGCAAGCATGGTCCACTGTTGTCACCATCAGAAATCCTGCACTGAGAAAAGATGTAAAGCCAGCACTGCAGTGCATGCAGTTAGACGGGAAGGGGCTGCAAAAAGCCTGCAGGAAATCAACAGCACTTAGAAACAATAAAGTATACAAATATGTAAAGTAGTGTTTTATTTAAAAAATACATACAGTGGGGCAAAAAAGTATTTAGTCAGCCACCAATTGTGCAAGTTCTCCCACTTAAAAAGATGAGAGAGGCCTGTAATTGGCATCATAGGTAGACCTCAACTATGAGAGACAAAATGAGAAAAACAATCCAGACAATCACATTGGCTGATATGGAAAGAATTTATTTGCAAATTATGGTGGAAAATAAGTATTTGGTCACCTACAAACAAGCAAGATTTCTGGCTCTCACAGACCTGTACCTTCTTCTTTAAGAGGCTCCTCTGTCCTGCACTCATTACCTGTATCAATGGCACCTGTTTGAACTTGTTATCAGTATAAAAGACACCTGTCCACAACCTCAAACAGTCACACTCCAAACTCCACTATGGTGAAGACCAAAGAGCTGTCGAAGGACACCAGAAACAAAATTGTAGACCTGAACCAGGCTGGAAAGACTGAATCTGCAATAGGCAATCAGCTTGGTGTGAACAAATCAACTGTGGGAGCAATAATTAGAAAATGGAAGACATACAAGACCACTGATAATCTCCCTCGATCTGGGGCTCCACGCAAGATCTCACCCCGTGGGGTCAAAATGATCACAAGAACGGTCAGCAAAAATCCCAGGACCACACGGGGGGACCTAGTGAATGACCTGCAGAGAGCTGGGACCAACGTAACAAAGGCTACCATCAGTAACACACTACGCCGCCAGGGATCCTGCAGTGCCAGATGTGTCCCCCTGCTTAAGCCAGTACATGTCAGGGCCCATCTGAAGTTTGCTAGAGAGCATTTGGATGATCCAGAAGAGGATTGGGAGAATGTCATATGGTCAGATGAAACCAAAATAGAACTGTTTGGTAGAAACACAACTCGTCGTGTTTGGAAGAGAGAGAATGCTGAGTTGTATCCAAAGAACCCCATACCTACTGTGAAGCATGGGGGTGGCAACATCATACTTTGGGGCTGTTTCTCCGCAAAGGGACCAGGATGACTGATCCATGTACAGGACAGAATGAATGGGGCCATGTATCATGAGATTTTGAGTGCAAACCTCCTTCCATCACCAAGGGCATTGAAGATGAAACGTGGCTGGGTCTTCCAACATGACAATGATCCCAAACATACCGCCCGGGCAACGAAGGAGTGGCTTCATAAGAAGCATTTCAAGGTCCTGGAGTGGCCTAGCCAGTCTCCAGATCTCAACCCCGTAGAAAACCTTTGGAGGGAGTTGAAAGTCCGTGTTGCCCAGCGACAGCCCCAAAACATCACAAACATCACTACTCTAGAGGAGATCTGCATGGAGGAATGGGCCAACATACCAGCAATAGTGTGTGCCAACCTTGTGAAGACTTACAGGAAACGTTTGACCTCTGTCATTGCCAACAAAGGATATATAACAAAGTATTGAGATGAACTTTTGATATTGACCAAATACTTATTTTCCACCATAATTTGCAAATAAATTCTTTCCAAATCAGCCAATGTGATTGTCTGGATTTTTTTTTTCTCATTTTGTCTCTCATAGTTGAGGTCTACCTATGATGCCCATTACAGGCCTCTCTCATCTTTTTAAGTGGAAGAACTTGCACAATTGGTGGCTGACTAAATACGTTTTTGCCCCACTGTACATGTCATCCAGATAAGGTTAAAGTAGTTGTAAAGGCTGAAGATTTTTTGCCTTCATGCATTCTATGCATGAAGATAAAAAAACCCTCAGTGTGCAGCTTCTCCCTCAGCCCCCTAATACTTACCTGAGCCTGATCCCAATCCAGCAATGTGCATGAGAGCCAAGGCTCTCCCGCTTGCTCTGGCGGTACTGAGCATGGGGGAGGGGCCAGAAGCACCTGCTGGGGACCCAAGAAGAGGAGGATCGAGGCTGCTCTGTGCAAAACTGTTGCACAGAGAAGAAAAGTATAACATTTTTATTATTGTAAAGAAAAATAAAACCCTTTTTAACTACTTTAATATCTACTTTAACCACTTTCCCCCCGCCCTATAGCAGAAATACTGCTACAGGGTGGCAGGACTGTGCAAAATCACATGTGTATATATATATATATATATATATATATATATGTGTGTAATTTTGCATTTCCGAGCCCTACCCGCATCACTTTTGGCGGCCTCAGCTGTAGATCACCAGGTCACGGCCGGTGATTCCCTGCTGGCACCCGGCGATCGCTGAGTATCACTGATGGGGGGAGAGACCTGTATGTAAACAATACAGATCTCTTCCTGTCAGCTTTAGCACAATGCTTTGTATTGCTCTGCATAGCACAGCAATACAAAGCAATGTGCTGACACAGTAAACCACACACACAGTACACAGTAAAACAGCACACAGTTAACCCTTTGATTGCCCCAGATGTTAACCCCTTCCTGCCCAGTGTCATTAGTACAGTGTCAGTGCTTTTTATTAGCACTGATCACTGTATTAGTGTCACTAGGGATGTCAGTGACAGATAGTCAGTTCCCCTCAGCAGTCTTCCAGTCCCACTATAAGTCGCTGATCGCCCGCCATTACTAGTATGAAAAAAAATTCTAGTATATATACCGTCATTTGCAGATGCTATAACTTTCACGTGAACTAATTAATTTACATGTATTGGGATTTTGTTTTAGTAAAGACATGTAGCAGAATACATTTTGGCCTAAATTTATGAAAAAATTTGATTTTTAAAATTTTTTTTTACTGGACATGTATGTTGTTTGTTTTCTCAAAATTGTCAGTCTTTTTTCTTTATAGCACAAAAAATAAAAACCGCACAGGCGATCAAATACCACCAAAAGAAAGCTCCATTTGTGGGAAAAAAGGATATGAATTTAATTTGGGTGCAGTGTTGCATGACTGTGCAATTTTCAGTTAAAGTAATGCAGCACCATATCACGAAAAATGGCCTGGTCAGGAAGGGTGGTAAATCCTCTGGAGGGCAAGTGGTTAATGATACCTTATGACAACATTCTACTCTGTGTATTGATCATACTCAGTGTTGGATCTCTACTCATTTAGAAGTGAAGTTTTGTGATTTGGTCCTATTTGCAACATCTCACAAGTTTGATCATGTTATTTCAGACTGAATTGTAGGTTCAGAAAGCCAAATTCAAAACAAGATTTTAGCTTTTTTTAGCAGTTCAGTTTCAAAAAGGCTTATGGGAGCTTTATAAATGCCTTAGGTCCAATCATAAAAAAAGTTCCGTGAGACTCCTCTCAAAGTTCCATACTCTTCACTGTGGTTGAGGAAGAATCAAGGTAGGGAGGGATTGCTGTGCTTGTAGGGAAAGGGTGTAGTGGGGATTGAACGGAGGCTTTCACATCAGGAATTTACTTTAGGATGCTAATACTGTTGGCAAAGGATGTTGGGCAGGAGGGCCACCCATGAAGTGAATTTTGGCCAGTTCATTAGGAACCGAACAAAATCTGTATAGTTTATGGCCAGCTTTACAGAGACAACTACAAATGAACAGGGTGATTACTGGTGAAAATTGATTTTGAAGCAAAACAATTTAACTGAAAATGCTCTCACTCATTGAGCTGGTCAGAAAAAAATAAATCTACTTTTTTAATGTTTAAAGGATATGTGTTTTTGAGGGTGGCTTATTTATGGTAGTTTATTTTATTTAGTATTTTTGTATTTTTCTCATCTTAGTGTGTTTGATCATTATTTGTGTACTGTCAATTTATGTTTTTAATTTACAATTTTTTTTTGCTGTCTGCATTTTCTTTCTGTGAAAAAAGAAATAAAATAATGAGACTAGGGAGAGGCCTGTTTCTGGCACAAGAACAAATCCAGGCTAGTTTAAAGGAGTTTTAATAACCTTCAGGAACCATCTTAATTTTACCTTACCTAATGACTTCAATGTATTGTGCAGAAATATTATGATTTTCATCAAAATGTTGCAGAAATGAAAACTTTCAAATTCACTCATACAATGCTTAACTTATTTTCTTTATCATACATGACGGGGCACAGAGCAGCCAAATAAATCCTCACTTGATGGGATATGCGCCATCCCACCTCATCCCTTTAAAATCAAACACATATTAATTACACAGGTTCTGTGGCTGATTAAGGTGGTAATAAAACTGACTTAATGCTTTATATGCATTAAATTAGCCCCAGAACCTGTGTAATTAATATGTGTTTGGTTTTAAAGGGATGAGGTGGCAACCCTAGCGCCATCTACAGGTGCTTGGACACTGGAAAAAAAAGACAAGAAGTCCTCCCCTATATAACCCCTCGTAAGCAGGAATTACCCCAGATTTTTCACCAGTGCCTGAAGGAGATAGTCATTGATGTGCAGCTCTCTGCATAATGCTACCAGATTCTCTATGGTTCCAGCAGGTATCAGGAGATTGGTGTTGTCTGGATCCAATCCTACAGCTGTGATGCTAACATGGATGGTGCCTGGGCCCCATTATGTTGGGATTGGAACAAACATGCAGGGATTACCTGTAATACAACCATTTGGCATTGGACCCGGTGTATACAGAACCGTGTTCAGTAATGACTGACCAAGATGTTTCCAATAGGGTCACCAGTCCCTTCTAATAAGACTAAGTGTGGCCGCCATTTTGTGGAAGTCCAGCAGACATTTTCCAAACCACTTCAATGCTAAAAACTGTGTCAGCCATTTTGTTGTAGTTCACAACCCATATTTACCGCCATGGCCATTTTCCAGATAATTCTTAATAGGAATTGATTGTAACCCATAATACAAATACACAAAAGCAAAGAAACAAACAAACAAACAAACAGATCTTGGCAGCTGGCAGCAAAAGAAAACCTCTACGGCCATTTAATAGATTACAATCCTTAAAGAGACCCTATATTAAGAATCAAATCTTACAATTATTCACAACAATAAGTGGGTACATTATCATAACTATTTCTATGTCTGTACTATAAACACTATTGTTTGAAATATTTATAACAACATTTTAGATATTTTAGTCTCAGCTGATAAGAAACAGACTGATGTAATCCTAAACCCCTTGCTGGCAAAAATGAAAATAAAAGTACAGTTACTAATCCAATTAAAAACACAGTAAACTCATTTAAAAAAGACAAAAAAAACATATATTATAGACACAGGGTCACTTTTCTATAATCTCTATCTCATATCGATAAAACAATTGATTTTCAGATCCACACTGAGGCCAAAAGGTACACCAGTCTATTTTATCATTCAGACGTAGTACATGGCAGCCTCTCCAGCAGCAGCAGCTGGTGTTATGAAAGCACACCTACAGAGAGGCAGAACTGTCAGCTGGGTTAAGTGTTCTAGACCAAGATATTGTTTGTTTTGTGCACAGTATCCTCTCAGCTGATACATGGATGTCACTATGCATAAGTCCTAATATGGTAAGATCAGCAGGACAAATGCTTTCCAAAAGCATTGGTCCGAGAGGTGGGAACACAGAAGAGGAACCTCTGTCAGATCAGAAGGTCTCTAGACGTAGCCCCACTGCTGCAGTGTTTCCCTAAGGGTCTAGAAGTTTCAGGTAGTTCTGAACTTTTACCCTTATCAGGTTTCCTGTTACCCCCAGGGCACTAACATGTATTATTAAGGAGGATTGCCAACCACTTTGGCAGGCCAAAGGTAGAAGCATTCTCTTTTTTCCCCTCCCCCTTCTCTTTTCTTTTGCAGGAGGAGTGGGTGGGCATTGAGGAAGAGGCAAATGATGGAGGGTCAGAGGTTGGTGAGTTGATAGATTCTTCTGCTGAAGTCTCACAAAATAGTCCATTCTGTTTGATATTGCTTTGGCTGCATCTGTGGACATACACTCACTGGCCATTTTATTAGGTACACCGTACTAATACCAGATTGGACCCCCTTTTGCCTTCAGAACTGCAGTAATTCTTTGTGGCATATATTCACCAAATTGTTGGACACATTCCTCAGATTTTGGTCCATATTGACATAATAACATCACGCAGTTGCTGCAGATTTGTCAGCTGCACATCCATGACGCAAATCTCCCGTTCCACCACATCTCAAAGGTGCTCGATTGGATTGAGATCTGGTGACTGTAGAGGACATTGGAGTATAGTGAACTCATTGTCATGTTCAAGAAACCAGTTTGAGATGATTTGAGCTTTGTGGCATGATGCATTATCCTGCTGGAAGTAGCCATCAGAAGATGGGTACACTGTAGTCATTAAAGGATGGACATGGTCAGCAACAATACTCAGGTAGGCCATGGCGTTTAAATGATCCTCAATTGGTACCAAGGGGACCAAAGTGTGCCAATAAAATATCACCCACACCATTACACCAAAACCAGTCTGAACCATTGATACAAGACAGGATTTCATGTTGTTTATGTCACATTCTGAACCTACCATCTGAATCTTGCAGCTGAAATTGAGACTCATCAGACCAGGCAACATGTTTCCAATCTTTTATTGTCCAGTTTTGGTGAGCCTCTGCGAATTGTAGCCTCTGTTTCCAGTTCTTAGCTTACAGGAGAGGCACCCAGTATGGTCTTCTGCTGCTGTAGCCCATCTGCTTCAAGGTTTGACATGTTGTGTGTTCAGAACTGGTATTCTGCATACCTTGGTTGTAATGAGTGGTGATTTGAGTTACTGTTGCCTTTCTATCATCTTGAACCAATCTGCCCATTCTCCTCTGACCTCTGATATCCACCAGGCATTTTCATACACACAACTGCTGCACACTGGATATTTTCTCCTTTTTGGATCATTTTCTGTAAACCCTAGAGATTATTGTGCATTTTTTAAATACTCAGACCAGCCCCAACAACTAAGCCACGTTCAAAGTCACTTAAATTTTTTTTTCTTCCCTATTCTGATGATCTGTTTGAATTTTACCAAGTTATCTTCACCATGTCTAGATGCCTAAATGCTACCATGTGATTGGATGATTAGCAATTTGTGTTACCAAGCAATTGAACAGATGTACCTAATAAGGAGGTCTGTGAGTGTAAGTTTCAGCTATGGTATCACGGTGCTTCCCATGAGGTTCCCAGTCATTCTCTGTATACCCTCTGTATACCCTCATCTTGTAGGGGGTAGTATATGTGGATTGGGCTCATCTTAACAGGGTGTTCACTACATCAAAAAGAAGTTTGTTCAGATATACCTTATGGGGTAGCATGCGGCAAACTCTTATGTCCTGTGGGTGATGCCCAAGTCCTAAATGTCTAGCTGATAAATGGCTGGAAACACTGCCCAAGGCATCCTTTTTTTTGGTCATGGCTGCTATGCAAGTTGGGCTCCGTAAGCAGTAAGGCTGACCTGGGTGAAGGTTTAGCAGATTTTCCCAGGCTCTGGTGTTTTGCTGTGGATGTTTGTAAATTCCATTCAGCAAATGTTGCACCTAAGACTTTTGCGTATACGTTTAAGCAGAGGTTTTTGGTAAAAATGCTGGTCTGTAGAATTACCCTGCAAAGAAAGTTTTGGGCCAAATTTAGATCAGGATATCCAGATGTTATCAGGAGGAAATACATTTCTTTTGCCTCTCTGTAAGAAGGGTAAACA